TATTATAAAGCATTATAACAACCAAAATAATGTTTAGCTTTATGCTATCTTCATAAATAAATTTGAACTATGATATAATCTCTTTCAAATGAAATCTGAATTGTCTTCTTTAACCTATATAGTAGTAACTTGATTAATAAATGAACAATTATAAACTCATTTATAAATTAACATTTCTACAATACGAATTTCAAAATCTTTAAAAAAAGTCCCTTAGTTTCTACGAAACTTGGGCATAAAGATTTTTTTCTAAACTTATCATCTGTAATTCTATCACTTTTGTACTTAAATTTTTATTGTGTTGTGTTCTTATTTTATTTTAAAATTTATTACAAGTGTCATAAAAGTATAGTTAAAATAGCATGGATTAATAAACTCAAATTTGAAACAATTCAAAACTCAAATTAAATCTAAATAAAATTTTTTACTTATTTTAAATTTTAATTTAATTAAAAATAATATAATATATATTATTATAAAAATGAACTACCTTCACTCGATTCCAATTGATTTTAAAATGTCAACAACTAAATGATTATTTAAAATTTGAAATGATTGAATATAATCAAAATCCAAACTGAAATAATAACCCAATTAAAATCCAACATTAGTGACTCATCTTCCATAACAATTTAAAAGTTTTTTTATTTAAGCTTCTTTTCCTTTCATCTTCAATGTTTTTATTTTTATTGTCTTTATGGTTGAATTAGTTAATTAATTTTAAGATAATTTATAAAGTGAAATTAAAATTATAAGTAAGTCAATATACTTATTTTTTATTTAAATTTAGGATGATTTAAATCCACCTTTTTAAATAAAAAGAAGTATGCATCAATTATTAAGTCAAATGGGCTTAGATATATAAGTGAATAATTACATATGCTATGAATTGAATCGAATGATAAAACTTTACTTAACCTAATCAGTCGCTAATCTTAAGTCTAAAATCTAATTCAAAATTATAAAAAGTCAAAATTAAAAATAATTGAAATGCTAAATACACAATTAAATAAAGATTTATCAAATAAATTTTGATAATAAATTCTTTTAAATCACTTTTAAATTTAGTTAAATTATAATTTATAATAATTTTTTATTTAGATGTAAAGTGATAATTAATTTGATAAATTTCAATTCTTTTGAACAAATATTACCTAATATGATAACCTCAAAAATTTTTATATAATAGTTAATATTCTTCAACTAATATAAAAGAGATAATGAGTATATAATGTTTCATGAAATAAAAATGTTCCATATTAATCATAAAAAAAAATTGAAATCAATGTATTTTGTATATTTTTTATTGAAACATCATATAACACTAACATTTTTTGTCATATAGAGATGATAGAGTTATGCATAACTAAGCAATCTTTTGTTTCATTTTTCTGGTTAAAATAATCTTCCATTGGTGCTTTTATTAATTGAATATAATTGTATGTTTTATCAACTAAAAGCTTAAATTTTCTTTAATTTTAAAAATTTTATTATACACGAATTTTTATTATATAAAATATTAAAGTACATAATTTTAAAAAATAAAATAAAACAAAATCTTATGTTGAAAGAATTCACCAAAAAACAATTAATTTTATTTCACTTTATAATTTTTTACTTAGAATAATTCATATTGGATCATTCAACCACTTGAATTATTTGATGTGAAATATCATTTTACTTATAAATAATAAAAAAAGTCATTTAATTAAATTAAAAATTCTAAAAAAATTACTAATGACATTTTGATCAATCACTTTTAGCATTTTTTTAAATTAAAATCTTATTAAGAATATTTTAATAAATCACTTTTAGTATTTTTTTTGTAGTCTAATTATAAAAAGAAAGAGTCTAATAATAAAAAAATTCATATAAAAACATTTAGTAAGGATATTTTAGGTAATCACTTTTATTACTTTTACAATGAAAATTTTAATAGTTTAAATAATTTAATTTTATATAAACTTTATTTTTAATTTTAGTTTATTTAAATTAAATTTAAATAAATTAATAAAAATTATACATATTTAAGGATAAATTTGTTAATTTAAAAATTTATAGGAATATTTTGGTCGTTCACTATTAATAGTTTTAGAATTAATACTTATATATATGTGTGTGTGTATGTGTGTGTCATACCATACTAACCCAAATGCTACATGCTGACATTGGCTTTTAAGGTGTCATAACATATCAGCCTATGAATCTAAAATCTTTTACTTCAGCATGACACATATATGTCATATTTAGTCCAACTTGAATATTTAATAATGAATCGTGCCATGGATTATAGACCTAATTAAAATCTCTAAACCCAATATTAACTTGAAAACAACCTAACTATTAATTATGAATGAAGGTTTGCTAGGCTAGAAATACTTGTTGGGCTAACATAAAACTAACATCAAGACAGCTTAAAGAGTCATTTAGGAAAAAACAATGAAACTTATAAAGCAGCCAACCTTGGGGTCCAACTTTGGTTCGTATGTACACTTAGCATGCATATATAACATATATGCATATCAACATGAATATCATTAATATCATCGCCATGATATAAAATTTTAATTTCTGGCTTAAGGATCTCTTGTTGATTAAGTTAGAAGAGCTTCATGAAAAGAGAGAAAAAGGCTAAAGAATTATGATTAATTCATATATATCATATTTAGTCCTTGCCTTGGTGTCTTGGTATTTTTTACTAGTAGCAAAACTAAACTATATATCTATATAAATACATTTAAAGTAAACACCATGAAAATTACATTACTGGTTTTGAGATTGCTTAATAAGAAGCTAACACGTGGCATTTTGTGTCATCCTTAACAAAATTATGAAAATATCCTTCTATATTTATTAATTATAATTACTCACCTTACCAAAATTGCATTAAAGCCTTTGAGATTGTTTCATAAGAAGTTTTGTTTGAAAATTATTATAATACTCCTCCTATTATAATTATGAAAATGTCTTTGTGACTATAATTATGAAAATGTCCTTGGAATTATTTCATAGAAAATTGAAATGTAGCATTTTATTTGAAAAGTACTATAATACTACTATTAAATTACATATTAAATTTAAAAATAATATAAAATTAACCACGTATTAAATTATTAAAACACTCTTACCATTGCTTAATAGAAATTTAACATGTAGTATTTTGTTTAAAATTTACTATAATACCCCTATTACATTACAATTAAAGTTTAAGAAATTATAAAATCAAGTACTTATTAAATTACTAAAATACCTTTGTCATTGCTTCATGAAAATTTGACTTGTAGCATTTTATAAAATTATTATAATACCCTTATTAAATTACTTATTAAATTAATTATATAAAAGTTAACTAAATATTAAATTACTGTAATAAAATAAAAATTATAAAGTATAATATGATAAATATAAAAACACATTACAAAAAATTAAATTATTTTTATTTTGTTTTAACTATTTTTTTAAAAAATTATAAACTACAATAAATTAAAAATCATACATTTTATGCAATGATTAACAAAAATATAATGCTCAAAATATATTATAAAAAATTAACAAAAAATTATAATTGCAATATATGAAATATAATATATATTAATTTTAATACTTTTATAATATTTTTATTTGTTTTATTTATTTTATTATTTTTATATTAAAATAATTATAAATTTATTTAAAATAATAAAAAATTCTAACAAAATAATAGCTTACCCCTGTATAGCAGGGTGGCTATTTCTAGTATGTATATAGCACTATTAAATTTGTACATATATTTTCCTCAATATAATTTATAGGATTAATACAAAAATTGTCACTGTATTATATATTTTTTATTAGTTCAGTATCTACAAAAAATAAAATTCTAACTTTGGCATCCAAACTTTCATTTTGTCAAATACTTTGATACTCTAATCTAACATCGTTAATCAACTTATTTATATGGCATTAATACCAATAAAATCATAACACGTGACATAAATGTCCAATTATCATCATATTTCGAGTTATCATTTAAATAAAAAATTCAAAAATTTTAAAAATATATATTTTAATTCAAAATTTTAAAAAATAAAATAGAGCAAGGGAAAGGATTAGGGAGAATAAAAAATATTTTTGTTGACGTTTCAATAGCTGACGTGGTGATAACTTGATATTTACAACATGTGATATAATTTTATTAGATATTTATATCACGTCAATAATTTAATTTATAATAACAATGTGAAATATTAGAGAATTTTACGAAATAAAAATTGGAGTACTAAAATAAAAATTTATTTCTTTAAGTATGATAAAAAATATATAGTACAAGAGACATAATATTATTAAATTTGTACATATATTTTCCTCTAAAATTTATATATTGAACTACTATTTTGATTATAGTATGTTCTAGAGAGCAATTTTTTTTATTGTAATGTTTCCTTTTGGTACGAAGAGAACAATTTTATGAATCATAAAAAGAAGAAAGGCAAGCTAATAACATCATGGAAAAGGAGAGATGCACACTGTCCAAGAAAAAAGTTAAGAGAAAAAACCATTGAAAAGGCTCCAGCTTTAGCCTTGCCGTTCGCCTTTTGTTTTGGTTGAAATCGTGAAAGATAACAGCAATAGGACGCAGGTATTTTCAACCCTGAGGTATTTTTTCTTCCAACTGACCAGAAAAGCTTTGAATGGTCTCTGCATAAATGGGAAGATGATGTGCTTCTTCTGTACAACCCACTGCCCTATGACCCTGATTCTAATGAGATATATATATATATATATATATATATATATATATGAAAGTGAATAATGGAGTTTGTTTGTGTCTGCGTGTTTGGAGACGTTAAGAGGGACGAGTCAGTCAATAAAACTTGGCACTGAAAAACACGTTGTTTTTGCATTTACATTTGTTTGAGAACACAAGTGCAGGGCAGCAGTTGGAAAAGGCCCATTAGATTCCTCTTTTCTCTTGCTCATGCTTTGTTTTGTATTGATATTTATGAAAGATTTTAGGTTCTAAATTACACAGTGGTCAGTATTATTCTTTAATGCGGAAGGGGAAAGCCACCTCCGTTTTCTGACTTATTCAGTCTACAAAGATCTCCAAATAGTCCAAGCAGAACATAAAAAATAATCAAAAGCTGTGGCAAAGGACAATCAGCTTTTACAAGTGGCTCTGGCCTTAGTCAACGTAATAGTCCAGAGTCGGAAAAAACTAATGAGGAACAGTTATTCTTGTAAATTAAATGATAAAGAATTCAGAAAAAAGCTCGAAACATCAACATTAATCGATCAACTTATCGCCCGAATGCCCTGGAATACTTCACCAACAAAATCCATCACTAGGAGCTTCCATTTAACCAAATTAATGAACAAATTACATCACACAAATTGCAGGACAAAACACTCCACTAATCAAGGCAAGATTATCTAAACAACCACTTTTGGTATATCAGTAGATATAAGAAGGAAAGAGGTGGAATATGATGCGGTTGAGATGGAGAGATTGGTTTATGATACGGATGAGATGGAGAGATTGGGTTAGAGTTAGAAGTAGCCTTTGTAAGGTTTGTTCGAATATTGTTTTCGACTTCACCTCCTGTTATAGCTGATGAAATGTAACTCACTATTAGAGAGTTCTCTTCGGGAGGTCTTCTTCTTGAAATTGCTGCTTGCAAGCATGGCAAGTAATTTGAAGAATGGTGGAGTTGATTTGCTTTATTGCATGATCCTTTAATGCATGAGCTTGTTCCAATTCAGCTTGTGCTTGTTGCCTAATTCTCTTTGCCTTTGCAAACTCTTGCTCAGCTAATTCAATCTGCCTCTTCGTTTGCTTTGTTGCCTCTTCAGCATAAGCTTTCTCAGCGATCGCCAACCTTAACTGCTGGTGAGCTTGTTCTTTTAGCCTCGATGCAACAAAGTCTGGTTTCTCATGAATCTCCTGATGAGTTGATTTCTTGCTTGCGTCCTTGTTTTTACACGTAACAGTTGGTTCAATTTTCTCGCCAATATCAGATGAGCCAACTGAGAGCTGTAACTGGGTTGAATGATTATCATCTTTTTTAGGGGAAAATGAGAAATCAGTGGTATTTGATGTGGTTGAGAGTTGAAGCTCCAAATTGTTGTAGTACACTTTTTTAGGGGAATTATCTTTTGTAGGGCTCAAGAACATGGTATCTGTTGTCTTCGCCAACACCAAACTAGGCCTACGAGCTATATTGAAATTGGTATCACTGGATGGACTGGGGGTTGAAGCTGTTCGCGACAAGCAAGCCGGCTGCAGTGCTTGTGGTTCTGGCCGGATACTTCCCATATAGCAGGCATCTTGATGTTCAATGAAACTCTCAACTCTGCAAAAGTAATTAAAAGTGAGTTAAACAGCTGTTATGATTCTACGTAACACTTAAGCGGCAAAAGGCTTGATCTAGTAGGCGTTTTTCTTGATGAAGATGGATAGTACGTAGAAACAATGAAAAAGAGAAGAGATAAACCCCATCGAAGTATTTAATTAATTTATAAAGAAAAGAATTCTGAAATCTATAAATTAATTGTTCTGGAATAGGATCGATTACAATAGAAATGGTAGAAGTAGAATTTATCTTTTTTTTTTTTTTTGGTTTCAAGGTGGGTAAAGCCCAATTATAAAAGGGAGGGGGAGGCTTGGTTTCTTTATGTTTTCTTAAAAGCTTTGTGACCACTAAGCCACGAAGCGAAAAAGAGTAGAAGTAGAATTTATAGATTAAATAAATGGAACAATACCATGTTAAGCTAAACTGAAACCTAATCATTTAAGACATTGGGTCACATGAAATAAAATATGTTGTCACAATTCACAAATGAGCGAAACTGCTTTGGCCTTTCAGCTGCGATCTATAGGATTTGAAACCAACAGCAACAGGACCAACGGAAACTGACCTTCGGAAAATGTGTTCAACTGCCTGTTAAGTACTGGATTAAGCTTTCATCAGTCAAAAAAGAAGTATTTTTTTTCTTTCCTTTTTCTTTTTCCTTTACAAGTCAAGAAACTCAAGTCATCTGGAAAGGGAGAGGGGCCTGACAGAGAGAATTCAATATATAATCATGGTTTGGGAATTACAAAATCTTTTTGCTTCAAAATACCAAAACATAGAAAAACAAAAGAAGCTTAAAATCCAGCAGCAACACCCCGGGAAAATTTTAGTATAGATCTAAAACACTGTTGATTGCTTTTTGAGGATAAAAAAGAAAAAGGAGGAGGTAGACAGGAATTTAGATATTTAAAGGTATGTGTTTATGTGAAAGGAAAGAAAATGAATTAACCTTGAAAAAACTCTGCCACAGTCGCAACAATGGCCTCTGGTGCCACAGGTTTTAAGATGCGCCTTATAATCAGATTGAACTGCATAGCCCTTGGAACATTTTTCGCACACCCATTGCTTGTGGTTACTGTGTTTTCTTCTGAAGTGCTTCTTGATCCCAACCAAATCACCAAGAGCATGGCAGGGGTCATGGTGCAAGCAACTAGGCTCCGGGCAAACGAACACCCGCTTTCTCACCACTGGAGTTTCTCTCTTGAATAGCTTCCATGGAACCTTGTGTCGCCTCCTGTGCATCTGTAGGTTTTGGTCTCTCTGAAATCCTTGGTTGCAGATCTCACAAACGTAATGATCCGATTCTAGTAGTGTTTTAGGGGAGAGAGAAACCACTTCTGCATCTGGATCTACATCAGCTCAGGTATATATATGTTCAAATTAGAACGGAAAATCAATCATGAAAATAAAAAGTTATCCAATTTTCTTTAGGATAATTGGATAAAAATCGTATTGCGTATGCGACATATATATGATACGTACCTGGCGTTCCTGCCGGTCTTCTTGTCCTCTTATTGTTATTATTACCATTCTCTAAACAGGAAAATGGCTCCGAAGAAGGAACCGAAGAACAAAAGTTATTGGCCAACATGGGTAATTACTTCAGAAAAACCTCTCCTTGGGGCGATTAACTTATTTAATATAAGCCAAAGAGGCTAAGCAAAGCAATATTTTTTCCTTTGCCAACTGCTGCTGATCTTGGCTTTTTCTTCTTACTCAGTAAAGTTGAAGAGTTTAAAAGGAAAATGAAAAAGGGAAAGAGAAAAGCTAATGGAGGATGGACATTAGGGGAGGGAAAGCGAAAGATATAGTTAGAGGTAGGGAGAGGTGGAAAGAGTAGTAGAACATGAGATGAGAGGAAGGAAAAAAAAGCCCTTTTTTCTTTCTTTTCTTTCGGTTTGATGATCAGCTTTCCTTTTAGCCCTTAAATATTCAGCTTTTATATCAGCTTTTCTCTCTTTCTCTCTTCAATTCCATCCCTCCTCTTCATCAGGTATTGTGTGTAGAGTAGAGTGAACTCAAGAAAAATTTGTTTAAAAGGAAGTAAAGAAAGACAGCCAATCAAAATGCAGTAGATCAGAGAGATGGGCCAAATTTGAGAAACATCCCCACAAAGAAACAAACATCTCATAATTCATCTCACACGGTAATCATTCATCTTATATATATATATATATATATATACATAGATATATACATATACATATGCACACACCATAACTCTTACTTTTTTTAAACTGTCAGATTTAAATTACTAAATTTAAAATTATTATTTTAATTCAAATACGTCATGAATTTAATTTTAATTTTGATCAAAGGGTCCAAAAAGGTATAAGAATTATAATAATATAAATGAATCCCTATTCATATATATATATATATATATATGTATAAGAATGGATCAACTTACAACAATGTAAAAGTTTTACTATTAATTTTAATCTATTCAAAGAATGAGAAAAACAAATCAAAAAGGAAAAAATGATTTAATCCATTCTTAGGAGTACCATTTGGAATTAATAGTTAAAAAAAAAAGATATCAAACTTTTTAGTTTTATACTGGTGTAAGTTGATTCCTCCTATGTACATGGGGTGTTTGGTGCACAAGATTACAATAAGATAGGTTTAAATAATATTATGAATAAGATTAAAAAAAATAATATTATCTTATCTTATATTTGATGTGTAGAAGGATTATGGAAGGATAATTTTATTATTGGTCAAAATTCCTAAATTTTATACAACTTAAATTATTGATGTAATTTTTATGGGTATAATAGAATATGCAAATTTAATTCCATGGAACAAAAATAATCCTCTCTACTTGGGAAGGATTGAATCATCTATGCTAAAAGGATGGTTAATTCTTCTTGCAATCCTATTATTTTCTTTAGATACAAATCAAATATGATATAAGATAATTATCATCTTATACTATTCATCATCTAAGCACCAAACATGGCTATAATATATTATATATATGGATCATATCAACTAAATTCAAACTCATTAGTACATTTATATAAGTGTTATCTAATTCTTAGTATGGGTTGATTTAAAATTTTATTTATAATAAAATTTCACATAAGTGCTATTAGATGTCTATTTTTAATGTGATTAAAATATGTGTTATATAAATAGACACATATCACTACAAAGAAATGGGTTTTTAAAGGCGCATATTTCATAATGGTGACAATGTTTATATAAAAATGTTGCTAAAATATAATATAACGGTGTTTAAATACCAAAATGCCATTATCATAAAGAATTTGTGGCGTTTTGGTAAAAGTGTCGTTGTAATTTTTTCCAAATCTATTTGTCTTTGAAAATGCACTATTTGGCTTATACTTTGTGGCATTTATACTAAAAATGTTGCTAAATATATGGCTATCATAAACACTAATAATTTTGTAAAGTTAGTAATGTTTATGGATAAAAACGGCACTAAGTTCAATATGGTAGTAGTGTTTTTGCTTATAAACACCACTAAATCCTTATGTTTCATTTCTCTAGCTGTTGTCTTCCATTGTTGTCTCCCTCTGCTATTTCATTTCTCTTTTTGTTGGTTGCATTTGGTTTTTTGTTTTTCTTTTTTTTTTGCCTTTCATTTCTTTTATCCCCTATTATCATCCGATGTAGCACCAGTGGAAATCGTTAAACACATTTTAGCTTGTTGTTGCTCCCTGTATTCCATTTTATTACTCTACCTTATTGACCATTCTATCCATCATAAATTGTAGCTATGATTGTCAGTTAAGGTAATAGTTCAACGACAACTTGTACTTTTTTGTGATGCACTTCATTTTTCCTCTCTCATCATTTTTTTTTCTCTTTTTTCTATTACTAATTGTATATTCTATTGCTAGTTTGTTTTTCTTCAAAATTAATATAATATGTTATAAGTTATTAACATGTGATTTCTTCTTTTTTTTTTAGTTTTAGTAAAACATCTTTTAAAGTTTTATAGATATTTTGGTTATTTTAATCTTTGCATGTTCAACATAGAATAATTTATCCCCTGAATAGAGATTTATTTTTTATTATTATTAGCATTTTTCCTCTTAGGTCCTAAGCATATACATAATCATGTTTGTCTTGCATTTGATCTTACCTTAACTTTTTTCTCAAGTACTCATTCTTCTGAACTTTCAATTGACTCTGATTTGTTTATGTTCTATGATTGATATTTAGTGGTGTTAATATTCAAGTCTTGTAGTTTTTTCTAGATTTCAAAATGCTATTGGATTTGCTTTTATTTGTAGTTGTTGTAGGTATTAAAAATAGTTTAATAAATTAGTTTTCAATTGGGAGTATGAATGTTATAGCTTATAATGAATTAAATCATAATTCTTATGAGAAAGAATTAAATCATTCTTATTCTTTGCAATAGATGTTTAGAGAATCTATGTTACTTGAAAATCTAGCCTATCATTCATAACATCCATATTCTATCGTCACTCTTAAAATTTGACCAGGTAATTTAAGCATATTATTCTCTTTATTTTTTTTTTCCTTTGTTAAATTAAAGAAAGAGATGTATATAGTTTTATCCCATGATTTTCTTTCACTTATCATTTTCTTGTTTAGTATTATTGTGAATTGACTATTTAGAAGTATTCTTGGCAATAGTTATAAAATTTTGGTTGTGATACTTGATCTCTGTGAAAGGTTTTGATGGATACTATTGAGAATAGTTGTTAAATTTTTGTGTTTTCTTCATAGGTTTCAAATTAGTTCATAGTGCATTAAGATGTATGAATTTCATATTAGTTTATAGTGTATTAAGATGTATGAATTACACCTATTTCTTTGTAATTATATGTTGTGCTACTATTTTGAGTGTAATATTTAATGTAATTATGTGTGTTAAAGTTAGTTGTCATATAATTAATAATATGACTTTCGTCTTATAATATAGCAAGTACTAAATGGATAAAGTTGGATGCAAAAGTTAAGGTTATGTCAAGAATACCAGGAGAAAGTAGAATAATTCCTTAATTTTGCATTTAACAATGCAAGTGAAAATAATATGATTTTATGTCCATGTGTGTGATGTGGTAATAATAATTCGTAAATAAATGAAGTTGTGTAGGAACATTTAATTTGTATTAGATTTCTTTCAAGATACATTCATTACTATTTTCATAGAGAGTCTACACCTTCTAGGTCACCATTTAGATTTCTTCCAATTCAAGGGCTTCTCAAAACCAATATGATCTTATTGGATAAGATGACATGGAAGGCATCTTATGGGATTTTTTAGCATTCATAACAAATATTTCCATAATTTATCACCTTAAAGTGATGAACTTAATGATTCAAATATTAAAATGAATAATATTAGTGAACATGAGATAAGTGTAGGTGACCAACGACCTAGTGGAAAAGCATCAAAATTTTATAGGTTGCTTGAAGATATAAATGAAGAATTTTATGAAGGATCTAAGCATTCAAGGTTGTCTTTCTTTATTTACCTTTCCCACTTTAAATGCTTATGTGGGTGAATAGAAAACTCTTTGACCTTATTATTAGAATTTATGAAAAAAATGTTCCCTTTAGCAAAAATCCTTGAACCTTATAAGGATTCTAAGTGGATGATTAAAAATTTAGGTTTTAGACAAGAGGAAATTCATAGTTGTTCGAATGATTGCATGATGTGTTAGGATGATGAAACAAATAAACAATCTTGTGATATGTATATTTTGATGTGTGTGACAATTCTTGTTGGTTGGACACAAACCTCAAAGAAAACATTAATAAGGTTATGGTGAAGTACATGTAAAAAAGAAACTTCTAAAGGTTTTACGGTATTTTCTTTAATATCGAGACTTTAATGATTTTTATTGTATTTCAAAACTTCAAATTCTATAAGGTGGCATCATAATGGATAAGCGGATGACAGATCATTAAGACATCTCGTTGATTCTTTGGCATAGAAATCGTTAACTTTAGGCATCTAGATTTTGCTTCTAATTCATAAAATGAGATGTTTAGACTTCCATCTAATAGATTTAATCCATTTAAAGTGATAAGTATGTCTTATAGTACTTGGCTAATTGATGTGATTCCTTACAATTTGCCACCATGGATTGGCAAAAAATAACCTTTTTTTTTTTCATTATTTTGATGATAATTCTTGGTGAGAAAAACCTTGAAAATGATATAGATATCTACTTGTAACCTCTTACTGAAAAGTTAAAGCAACTGTGAGAAAAATTTAAAACTTATGATGCCAAAAGGGAAAACCTTTGTATGTTTGCTATTTTGTTATGGACTATTAATGATTTTTATACCTATGCAAATTTATTTGGATGGAACACTAAAGTTTGTTATGCTTGTCCTTGTTATATTGCTCAAATATGTTTCAAAGGGTTATATAATGGTAAGAAGTTATGTTTTATGGCACATGGTTGGTGGTTAGATAAAAATCATTGATTTAGATTCCAAAACCATCTTTTTCATAGAACTGAAAAGTTCATAAATGTGCCTTCACCTATTCTTAGGTATGATATCTTATTAAAGTTAAACGATGTTAATTTCATTTACGAAAAAATGAATCAATCAAAGAAAACAGTGAGGGAGATATTTGAAGGTGACCTTTTTACTTCTTAAGTTGGTGATATTAATGTTCAAAGTGATAAAGACGAAGATGAAAAAGATAACCTGAATGAAGAATATATGGAAAAAAAAGTATTTTTTTAGTTGCCTTTTAATAAAATATAATGTATTACATCATAACCTTGATGGTGATGTTTATAAAGAAAAATGTTTGTAAAAGTATAATTAGGACAATTCTTAATATGGATATAAAATCAAAAGACAATTTAAAAAACCTACTTAACCCAATTGAAATGGAAATTTGGCTTGAGCTTCATATCGAGTTGCTTCTTAATGGCAAATCACGAATGCTACATGCTTGTTTTAGTATGTCTTAAAAAGATATGGATGTTTTTGGTAAGGTTTTAAAAGACATG